AAACTAATTGAGAAATATGTCACATATCAATTGTAGTCATAATGTACAAGGAATAAAGACTGTACAGTTATTCCCCAGACCCATTTCCAACCCTATAGGTTCCAATCCTTTTCTTCTTTCCAAAAATAAATTTATTTGGACTGCCATTTTTAAAGATATCTTTGCTTACATTTTACTTTTACTTCTTACTTCCAATATTTCCAATAAGCTTCTGATCAGAAGTAGATTCAGCAAGAATCCACACACATACATTCAGTAAGTATTCCAAGCTCCTGGAGGTTAACATCGCTCTTGACTTTGCAACACTTTCTCTGAAACATGAAGTAAGCATGACATACCAGGACAAAAAGGACAGAAAATCAACACCACTCTCCTGAATGCCAGCCAGCTATCCTTCAGTTCTGCAAAAAATTATATTCAGCATCCTGAGCTGCTATAAATTCTACCCTTTCTTTAAGGACCAGAAGTCCAGTCCAAATTTCTTAAGTAACACAGCAGCAGAAGCTGCTTTAAGAACTTGCATGAAGGAGGCCTGAAGGCTTTCATTAACATCCAGTGCACACAAATAAGTCCTAAAGGAATTGGAGCACAGTAGTTATTTCCTGATGCTCTCGTGTAATTATACCCATAACATTTGATATAGCCACCACACTTCAGTCCCTAAAACTCCATAAAGGATGAAGCAGAACAGTGTGAACACAGTTCTGCTAAGTAGATACATTGAAAGAATTCTCCATCCAAAAAATCCACGCCTGTTGGTTGGAGAGGATGAAGCATGCAGATCAATTTCTGACCCTACTGGAAGACTCCTGGAGTGCCTTAGGCACACACCTGATTATTCATTTGCAAAACATAACTGCACATACATTCTACTCACTTTTGCTTTGAGGAGTTTACATTCTAAGTAGGTAAAAAAACCCCGAGATTATATTGAACGATGCCTGCATTCAAGAGTGCCAAGTGCTGGAGACTTCAAGCCACTTTTCTTACACAGAGAGCTAATTAATCATCAACTACAGACCATCACTTTCAGTTCAACAGGGTAGAATAGCAGATCTCTGTGACATTCCTGCAGAAAATGGCAACAAAGCAAGAAATGATGAAAAAAGGTACATACAAAGACACTTCTCATCCAGAAAAAAATTACTGCATTCTCAGGTGTTTCTCTCCATGCACATAAGACTGGCATGAGCATTACCATAATGCTTAATATTTCAGAACTGCTTTTAATGTATTTGTTCTGGGGAACTTTTGAAACACCTGACATAAACCTTTCTCAGACACTGCATGGGGAGATTTTATTGCCTGGTTCTGGGGGGAAAAAACAAGAATCATGTCTTTCAGTAGGAATTTTATGCTAATGTCTTTTAAGTTTGCCTTAAGACTTCCACCTGCACTGATATCATGCCCTAATAAGCCTATCTTTAGCTTCAGAACACACATTTCCCGTCTCAAAGTGCTTCAAGTTTACAGAAACACAGCCAAGTGACTGCTCTGGTATGGTCCAGCACAGGCATGAAAAACTACAATATATGCCTGACACTGAGGTCCTATTCTTAGGTCTCCTATTCGGCAGAAGCCTCTTCAAAAGGAACTGCAGGTTGGGGCAGTCACTGACAGGCAAAAAGAAAAGTAAACAACCAAGACCACCAAAACGCCAAGATTATGATTATAAAAATGGCAAGATTTCATAATTTATAAATAGAATACTGCAAAATTGAAACTGGCCAGTGACATACCTAAAGCATGCCATGACACAGATTAGAAGAAGAAAATCCAGAGAGAAGGCCAATTAGAGGGACAGGAAGATTATTACTAGAATTCTAGAATGAAGATCAGAGGTTATGTGGGGAACAACCTAACCCTGCATAGACACAGTAATAAAATCTGGCCATCCAAGACTGTTCAGCATTACATTTTTTATGTTTCTGCGATTTCATTATATTCTCCTCACTGCAGACCTCCCAACAAGATCCAATTGTATTTTCTAGCATTTCTGAGGGACACTGACTGTTGTTAAGAACATCTGGCTAAGTGTCCATTTCCAAAGCCCTCATTGTGGCTCTCTGACCTCACTCACATACTTCTAACATTCCTTTCATTATATTTATTCACACAAAGTCAGTTAAAATACCAATAGATCTGTCATACATTTTTCCACCTACACATCTAAAATACTTTTCAAACTTTCCCAACTGATCAGGCAGGAGCTCTGAGAAGACAGCTCCATTTATCCAAGCCTGATTCCTTCCAAAGACTGTCAGCCCAGAATAACGTAATGATCCTGTTGAGGGAAAAAAAGTATCACACGTTATAATACATTTGTAAGCATAATGGTCTAAGGTTACAAAGACATTCTCACAACACATTATTGTAATTTACTAACTCTAAGCACTGGATTTTTTGTCTCTTGCATCTTAAAAAGTACTCTCTGTAACACAGAAGTCATATGGTCAAGAGGAATTTGGCATCTTCATTAATTTGCTGAAGCGCTGACTAGCCTCATTCCGGGTATTTTTTATGTGTGTCTCACCGTTTGCTGCTCTTTATGAGAGGAAACCTTACCTTCTTGCTAAAGTTCCTGTAAGACTTCCTGCAGTTCAACTGTGCTTATTACTTGACAGGAGAAAAAAAAAAAATGCCGCCGAGGAGAACACTAAGTAAGTTGGCACTGGCAAGTACTGCAAGGACACAAGCATTTTCCACACACTGGAGCAGTTTAGTACTTTCATAAGGAATTTGTTTTCAAACAGACATCCCCTTAGCCTTCCACCTTAGGTGTTTGCTTCCATTTTAGTTGTTTTGTTAGGGTTTTTTTTTTTATTTTCGGGGGGCTTTTTTATGACAGAACTGCACAAAGCAGGCCCAGGCTGCTGACCGAGTATCAAATAAATGCCAAGATTCCTTCCCCCTCTGCCCTCCCTTCCCCTTCCTGCAACTTCAGAGCGAGCCGCCGACAACTGCCGAGGCAGGGGGGAGGAGGGCAGGCGGAGGGCAGGCGAGACCCGCACATACACTGCAGAAGGTGGCCCGAGGTTTCGGGCTCAAGAGGAATCCTATTAACACCGCAGACCGCAGCTCAGCTACAGATGTGACCCCAGGACGCCTCCTCGAGCAGATAACAACAAAGAAAACAGCCGGGAGGAGGTGGCAGCCCCGGAGCCAGTTCCTGCTCCTCCCCTTACTCCCAGCCAAAACAGAGACCACAACATAAACAGAGAGAAAATGTGCGTTTATGGCAAAGCAAGGGGCAGAAGTAGCCTTCTCCTTTTCCCCCGGCAGCTCTCGCCAGGAATGCTCACCGACCGACTCACCCTGGCTTTGCGGGCGAAAAGCGAAGTTATCGCGTATTTCACACACTTTATTTATGTAAACAAAGTATCTTCCGCTCGCTGCAGCCGCACCGCCTCCTCCACTCTCCAGAGAAATACCCTTCATTAGCCCACGGGTTTTTCTTGAAACAAAACACGATGATGTCTCACGCAGCCCTCAACAATGCCTCGGCCTGGAAGACGCAGCCCCCACCAACCCCTAAGGTTGTAGAGACTCGACAGCGAAAAAAACAAACAAACAAACAAACCAACCAAGCAAGCACAAACAAATCAGCCAAAACGCAGGCTCCCCTTCTCACTGCATTCTCTCAAAGGCAAAAAGCAAACGCACAGCCGTCATGGGGGGGAGGCAGGGCGCTGAGCCGCAGCGAGGGACAAGCGCTGCCCTCACCTTGCCTGTACCAGCAGCCCCTGCCCGCAGTTCGAGGCTAGAACCTTCTCTCTTGTCCCCGTCCTCTCACAGCTGCCCGGGCCCAACGTACTCTCCTCCTCCCAACCCGTTTTGGGCCAGAGATTATTTATTACGCAGACGGCGTGAGGGGTGACTGGGTCGGGCAAAAGAGGAGGAAGACGAAGGGGCTGCCAACGGCGCACGCACAGAGCCCGTCCTGTCCCTCCCCAGGGCGAGCCCTCGCCCTGTCCCGGCTGTGCGAAAACAACCGCCCCCCCCATCCCCCTTCCCCCGCGCCTGCGTGTGGGGCCCGCGGACAATGGGGATCGGAGCGCCCAAGGAACGAGCGAAGGGCAGGGGCCGGAGGGCAGGGGCTGGAGAGCCACATTCCCCCCCTCCCCCACCGCAACCCAACCGTCCCGGCCGTCCGACGGGGCCTCCGCGCCGCACAGCGCGGCCAGAGCGCAGTTCTGCCCACCCCCCCCCACCACAGTGCGGGACACTCACCCGTTCCGCAACGGGTCCCGGACCCTGCGCTGGGCGGCACCGGCGAGACCGCTGGGCTGGAGGGGGCGAGAATTGCAGACAGGAGAGCGCTCCGGCCGAGCACGGACGAACGGCCGAACGAGCGGAGGGCGGCACTGGGCGGCCGCGGGTCGGGGGTGCGCAGGTCGGTTCGGCGGCCGGTACCGGTGCGAGGGCCGAGGGTGCGCGGGTGGGTTCGGCGGCCGGTGCCGGTGCGAGGGCCGGGACGGGACGGGGGAGGCGGGGCCCGACAGCTGAGAGGATGTAAACAGAGCGTCACGTGACCCCGCCCCCCGCGCGCGGGGCCGCCGGGCGAGGCGAGGGCGAGCGCTGCGCCGCTCCGCGCCCGGCCCTGATTGGCCGCTCGCCCCCCTCGCGACAGCCAATGGGCGGCCGGCGCTCGCGGCGCTCGTCACCAGTCGTCCGGGGGCCGTGGGGGGTGCGTGCGCTGCCTCCCGCCTCGCTCGCCCTCCCCGCTGGCCGGGGAGCGCCGACAGTGCCGTGTCCCCGGCCGTGCCGTGTCCCCGGCCGTGCCGTGTCCCCGGCCGTGCCGTGTCCCCGGCCCTCTTGTCTCCCGTGGGCCGCCCAGGATGGACAGCAGAATAGCCCTGCAGAAGGGCCGAGCCGGGCGGGGAGGAGCGGTAGCAGCGGCAGCACCGCGGGTGGGCGGCGGGGGTCGCGGCGGAGGCCCGGATTTAAAAACATGCGCACGGTGCCTGTCCGAAATAGCTCCGCTTTCACCGGGCTTCTCAGGGGATGCGGCGGCTCTGCGGGACCTTTCCGTAGGGCCTCTCGCAAGGGGACCAGAAAGTTCCCCCAGGCCCCAGAGAAGGGCCCTTGGGCTTTGTTGTCGAAGCTCCGAAGGACAGTTGGAAAAACTATAGCAAGTAAGAGAGACCACGGAGAAAGCTCAGAAAAATCATTAGAAATGTCAGAAAACGTCTGGGGGGGAGCGGGGGGGGTCTGTAAAGGTGGTAAACTATGAGCTTCCATGGAAATCGAGAGGGGAGGCACTTGATTTCCTTCTGGTAACCAGTGAAGGGGCTGCGGGAACAGCGTGAAAATGTTGTGGAGGTTTTGGTTGGATATTAGGGAAAGATCCTTCACTGTCAGGATTATTGAGAACTGGCAGAAGCTCCCCAGGGGAGTGGTTAGGGCACTATGTCTGACATAAGTGTTTGGACAACACTCAAGCCTATGGTGTGATTCTTGGTGTGGTCCTTTGCAGGACCAGGAGTTTGACATTTGTAATCTTAGTGTAACACTTTCAGCTCAGGATATTCTATGATTCTATTAATTGGGGAAAGGAAGAAGTAGTGTGGAAGGAAATAGCCATATATAAGTGGAAAGTCAAGGAAGCCTGGAGCCCCAGTGAAGACTTGCAGCCCAAGGTGATGAAGAGTGTTGGGTCATTCTGAGCCCTGGCCTCTGGTGACGCTTCTGAGGCATTGTCTCACGTTTGATTTGGTAAGGAGGAATTGGATTTGTGGGCTTTGGAGAGTCAGTGGAGAAAGTAAGCTCAGCTGGTAAACACTGAGAGAATTAAGAGTTACACGGGTTTCAGGATTTGTAGCAACTTGACTAATCTGTTTTCTTTGAGGAAAGGAATGAGAAACACCCGAGGTCAGTATCAGAAAAAAGGATGACATTCACACTTCAATAACAGTAAGTTCATGTTCACCAAACAATCAGGCAAAAGGCGTAGTATTTAAGGATTTCAGGATAATGGATATGAAAACCTGAAGATGTAGAGTTACAATAAAACTAATTTAGATAACTTGTAGACATTTACAATGATAATTTAATCTGGAGTGTTGTAAGCACAGAGTGTTTTGTGAAATGCAGCTGAGAGGCATAAAGTTTTGAGCTTCAGCCAAAGTTTGAGTAGTGGTGGAACAGGATTTGTAACTAAAAGTCCTGAGAAATGAAGGACATAAAAGTGTAGCTGGTAAGAGGCCAGGAGTGAGTATTACTCTGTTGAGGGGCAGGATTAGTTAATACCTGGAGTGCACAACGGTTGTAGATGGCAACAGCTGAGGTGAAGATAATTGGCAATATAAGGGAGAGAGTTTTTGTGAGGCTGGGACTCAGAAATAGGTTCCCTGTCAGTGAGTGATTCAAACAGTGCTACAAATTGCCACCCTATTAGTGATGTAACTAATAGCTCTTTGAATGAGAGAAATAGAAGGGAGAAAAACACATAAATTTTTACATTAAAATATGCCTTGCATCAGTAAACGAATAATTTTTGCTGGCTTATTGTAAGTTTGCTGGAGTATTGTAAGTTTGTTTCTATTAAGAATTTTTAGTTAGATATAATAAGAGTGTATCATTCCCTGCCTACTGTATGTGTTGTGAGAGTTTCCTGGTTTTGATTTCTTCTCTTTCCGTCACATCCTAACTATTCTTGTGCCTGAGCACCATGTAGTCATTGTCTGTCAGACAAGGTGCACTTAATCAGTATTCAGTCAGGACAGATGTTATGGCTGTTTTGTTCATTCAGTTTTAAGAGAATTTTTCAGATAATTTAGAGGGAAAAAAGTTATCATGCTTGAACTGATACTGTTTTTTCCATTTGCAGTGAACATGGACATACAATTAGGAAGGCCATTCCGCCATCTACTTTCAGAGCTGACAAGAAGCTTCAGCATTCAGGTCTAGCAGAAAATTTTACCCAAGCATTATCGTTCTCCAAATCTAATTCCTGTCCATCCGTTGTTAAAAAGGAAGTAAGGTGTGTATTTTCTGATGCAGTATATGACTTCTGCATCTTGATGTGAAAGGTATTTGTTGTCACATTATTTTAAATTTGAAATTTGCATCATTTGGGCAACCTTTGTTTTCATTTGAATGTAAGTTAATAGTCTCATAAAAAGCTAAAGTATTACGTGCAGGCCCATCCAAGCTCTGTGTAAGCTTGCTGAACTCAAAATCACTTTTCCCACTTCTTAACTGAATGAAATAATGAAACCCACTTCTCAACTGCAGCACAGTGAACATCCTTTCACCCTTATAAAACAATGGGCTAGGCTAAATTTCCCCCCAAACATCATTATTCTGTGCAAGTTTGGTGTTTTATTGTATCTGCAGATTTAAGCATAATTTACTTTTTCAGTATTTTGTCCTGCTGCTTTGTTATTTCTTTCATGATCATGCAGATAAAGTCTGAACTATGTGGAAGACTCTGGTGAATCTTTATTTTGTGCTTCTGGTGAAGGTTATAACATTCAGATATCTAATGGATAAGTACTCAAGACAGCCTAGTAAATTTCAAATTTATCAAAGAAATGGTAAAGTATTTAGACTTAACTGTTACTATAGTACACAGAAACAGAACAGAAAATTGGATATACACAGCAATTTATAATGAAAACAGGTTCAAATAAAGATCATGTCATAAATACTGAGTAGGCATATTATTAGGCATATTTAATTTCTTATTTATGTAGAAAAAAAATTGTCCTTTAGACATCTTGGCATTCCTAACAATAGCAATAGCTTAAAAGTAGAGTGGTGAAAATTACATTCCCTGAATACAATCCTGTTAGCATAAAGCTAATTAATAATGCATCATTTGCGCATCTCTAATTAATGAAAACCATTTATATATCATTGCATTTAAGGTACTTTGATTTGAATCAGTTTTAACTCTATGTTCTGTTGTTGAATAAGCATTTTAAAGTATTTTTAATACTACAAAGAACATACAAAACAGATATTAAAGTATTTTTCTTTAACATTTAGTTTTAGACATATATGCTATTTTCCTAATCTAATAAAGCTTACATTTGTAAAATTTTTGGTGGAGCTCAAGCTGATACTATTTAAAATACTTTTTTTTATGTTCTGCAATGCAATCTAGTTTTAATAAAGTTGTGACAGTATAATGTTTTGTAGGATTTCTTAAGGTTTGGATTATTCCTACCAAGTAAAGAACTTCTGTTGTTTATCTCTGGAAAGTCAATGGAAAGGATAAGGATATTAGAGACATAGAGTTTATTGCTATTTGTAATTAATTATTTCACACCGTGGTGCATACATTTGTATGTTGACACAGCTTTTTAGAAAATATTTATAACTCACTGTCATTTTGAAGTGACCATTTTCTGATTCATTTTGCATGCAACTCTTTTTTTCCTCTAGTTTCCACAATCTTATTAGATTTCCTTTCACCAGACAAATTTTGTTCTGTATTTTTCTTTCATCTTTAGTTATCACACATTTTAAAATTACAGTTAATTTCCTATATCTATTTTATATATTCTCTCATATTGGTAACTCCCTGATACCTTTCATCCACTGAGCTCTTTCTTTGTCTTTTTAATTTTTCTTTTGATTGCCTTCTTTCTTTTCCTTTATTTTTGGTAGATTTTCTTCCTGACAGTTGGTTTTACAGGTGTAGAACAAAAAAGACTTGCTACATAACCAGCAGCTCCAGTTTTCAGATGTTGTCCTCTGCTCTCTACAACAGATACCACTTCTGGCAATTGGATACAGTGAGCACGTACTTCACGCTGTGTCACACATCCCATTGGTGTAGCTTGTTTCAGGAAGAGGGCCTGAAATGGAGAAGTGATGCAGTGGCTTCCCCTGTCTTGCAGCCTTTGTCTTCCTGCATTACTGTATTATCTCAGAGAGTAAAAGTAGTGTGTTATTGAAAACAACACAAGTAATGCAAAGGGAAAAAATATTGAATCGCTTCTGGAAAGCATTTTATTTTGTCCTGAATTTTTGGCCTACCTTTCATATTTTTAAAATGTTCTGGTTTTGCATTCTTTGCTTTCAGATGTTCCAATGTACCTTCTGTGGCTCTCATCTGTATCCCAGCAGTCATCATGCCATTTCCAAAGATTTGTGGTAAGTAATGTTCAAGTTCCCAGGAACAGAGCTAGGTCATCCTCCAGAGAGTGCAAAGTCCAGGCTGAGTCCCTTCAGGTCCTGGATGAAGACAAGCATAGCTAAGCTGTAATGGACTGGTCAGAGTGTAACCTGCAGTCCCCATGGGTGGCCAGACACCAGCCTGGCAAACCATCATCCATAGGCTGTGATGTGGGCCTCTGGAACCTGCAGCTGCGCTTCTTTGAGGTGTGTCCTGGCTCTGAAAGCAGTTTAGTCACATTTGTACAATGTTGCTTTGGCAGATGAGACTTGAAAGATTTCACCTGTAAAACTGGTAAGATCTACATACACAGTGTATAGTGTGTCTGCATCTTTGACCTTGTTAATCTGCAGTTTGGGTAAACAAACCCAGTGTTACTGTCTTACATAAAAATGGTCGTATGGTAATTAAGCTTTGGTTGTATGCTAATTAAGCTTTAGATCAGAGCAACGTTTTCCGAAGCTCCAGAGCTAGGTGATTGAAAAGAGTGCCTTTAAAAGGAGTAAATCAACCTTTACTACATGGCTTGTCTATGTGCCAGATTCCTCCATTCAGTATTCCTAATGGTCTTTAAGACTTGCCACTTTTTCTTTGAGAGCTGCTCATCCTTTCTCTTTTCTAGCCCCCTTCAGGGAGGCAGTTTGTTACTGTAACTTGCTAAGGCATTTTGAGTTTTGGGAGATCGGGATTTTCATTGCTGTGAATTTTCAAATGCACTTTTTGTAAATATGAATTGCATTAAGCAATTGAACAATGTTTTTAATGCTATGCATCACAATCATACTCCTCTGAATCACACCAAATAAAATGTATTGGGGTTTGAGTTGCATATATTTGTTTGGGATGCCTGTAATCTTTTCTGTGCATCCCACCTCTCACACACCATTTAAGTGGTCACATTTTTTAGCAACTTTGTTAAAAGAAATGTGATACAGTGGTAGCAAAAACATCTTCTTCTGAAGTCTTGACTAGGCAGGAATAGCAGTGATGATCTTCAAAAGTGATATGCCTACATACCACTTGTGAGGAGAGTGCATAAGGCTTTTTCTCCTTGCCATGAAATCTTCTGCTAGGGTGGTGTTAGCACTCTCAGCCCCTCTGGAGCAGTTTTTGGGAGAGCTTCTGGCAGTGGGCAGAGCATGGTGTGGCCCTAGAAGTATCTTAGTTGTCAGAACATAGGCTGAGCTTGGTTCAGATTTTAAGACATTGAAAGCACACACTAGAAAAAGAAAAATATCAAAACAATGAAACCCATATTTTAACTTAAAGATGCAAATTGAATGAAACGAAGAATGAAATTAAATGGAGACTGTGGCCATAGAAATTGGTCTTAAGGATGCCTCTCATGATCAGTTGTTTGGCCTTCTTCAGATTAATCTTCCAACTTCTTGTGTGCACTTTCCTGTTTTTTTTTCTCTGTTAAGAACAAGCCTGAGGTTGTAGCAAGAGAAGGATTCCAGTGGCCTGTAGTCCCTGCCAAGAGCTTAACCAAATGTTGCTCTTAAATACAATAAACTGAGCACATCTAGATAATGACTGACATACTACAAAATCTAGTCACACAATCAAATATTAATTTTTTTTTTTAGAATTTGGTACCAAGGCAAGTGGCAGTTATTTAGATTTCATGTATATTACTTTTTTCCATGACCTGTGATTGGAAAAAGAAATGTCTTCCTTTAGTATTTCTGCTTTAAACCATTTGTAACTTGTCTCAGAGGTATATTAGGATACAAAATGAATATGTAAGCAGAAAGTGTCATATATTATCACTTCTGTCCTCCTTATTGATTGTAAACTGCAAGCACGAGACATTCTCCATGGAAATATGTTGATTTGTCTCTAGATGTAGCTGACAGTGAGTCAACAACATACTCTTTATGTCATCTTTTGCTTAAATCAATAGGGTGCTTTTCTAAATTTATAACATTCTTTTTTTAGAAGGAACAGAGTCCTTCAAACCAAGAAAAATTATATGCCACCATGGTTTAATATTTTAAAGACAGTCTCTGAGCTTCCCTTGAATGAGTCATATTTAAAGGAAGTTGCTGTATTTATAGCAAACAGCAGAAATATTATCCTCAAAATAATAAATGTTTTCACTTTATTTTTGCCTGGTTTTGTTAATCAAATATGGAACAATATGTAATTTATATGGATTAAAATTTAACTTGTGGAGCCTCTCTTCTGTATTTGGGCTGATAATATCCTGTAGTGTATTAGTGTATACAGTGTACACTAGTCCTCTTACTAGTAGTCAGCTGGCCTATGTTCCATAATTTCACAGGCTTTTAAGATTAGCTGATTACCAGATACCTAATAGTCTCCAAGTACTCTATTTATTACATGTAACTTTTATAGTTAAGTAGGAAAGATGATGAAAGTTATCTGCATGTTGTAAATGTGTCAAAAAATGCTTCTAGTTCCATTTCTAACACATTTAATATATTGGCAAAGTGAGAAGGTTGTGTTTATATATTTCTTTTTTCCCTAAGAGAATTTGAATCTCTTAATCAATAGGATTGAGTTGTTAGAGACATAAACTTGGTCTTCTTTTTATTGTATAAAAGCATCCTTTATCAACAGATTACCAAAAAGACAAGGAAAAAAATTATAAATATTAAAAAATATATTAAGTTCATATTATATAATATCTTCCAGTTTAAGTAATTTTTGTGAGACATGAACAAATACTACATTATATCCAGGAGGCTTACCAAAAGGTTTGTTCTTAAGATGCAGCATGCTCTTGGAAAGTGTTCTAACAGAACATAATCTTTTCTTTTAGCCTCCTCCAAAGTCCTCATGCTTTAAAAAAAATACTATTGATATTTTTTCTCCAAATTTGGCAGAAGTTTAGCACTTTTTTTCCCCCTTTCTGGATGATGCAGTTGGGTATTAAGTTTTTTTGATATATGTGCAGATGGCAAGGGCACTAAAAGTGAAACTTCATAACTGTGTTTGAGGAGCACACTATTTATTAAATTAGATGCAACGTCATTGTTAGGAGAGCTGCAAAGTATCTCTAGAGCAGATCTGTTCTCAACCAGTTAATTAGAGTGTTTTCTTAAAGTCCCTTATCTACAGTTGTACACCACAGCCTTAGGTATACAGTAAAAAGAATTAAATGGCCTGAACATTCTCCCATTTTATCCACTGGCTCTTGGAGCAATTGTGAGAAAGGTAAAAAAAATGAGATATTAGCTAAGTAAGATACCATCACTGAAATCAATTAATTGACTGTGGCTATGGGGAACAGTATGCATTTCTCTATTTGGCCATTTCTCCAGTTGTTGCCCCTAGCACTAATGGCAAGATCTTTTCTGCCTTCAGCTGTTTTCATACAAAGCCATATAGATTGAAGCACAGCCAGATCTTTTGTTATGGGCAGTGGGAGCTTCATACAAAGTTTATTAAAGAAGCCCTCCTGTTGAGTCACAGGGTGCAGAAAAGACCCCTTTACTCTCTGAACTCCTTAGAAAGGAGCCTGGGTGCGGCTGGATCCAGTCTTAGTCCCAGATTTGTCAACAGTCTAAGGGATTATATATGTGTAATTGAACTTTGTCCTTCAAGATTAAGGATGGCAAACCAGATATTTTTTCTAATTATTATAATAATAAATAATACATACTTATATAAATATATCTTAATCATAATTATTTACTACACAGTATAGGATTAACTATTATAGTGTATTGTAAAGCAATGTTGAAGCAATTATATTAAAGCACTTGTATTAAAGCTAGCAAAAACAATTATTAAGTAGAGATGGATGTTACTCACTCATACCAATGACTGTAGGCAAATCTCTTTTGCTCAGCCTGGAGAAGTAGCCTTGATAGACTTCTCCACTCATGGGAGGAACCTCCACACATACACTCCAAGAAAGAATGTGTTAGAAGACTGCTGCTAAAATTTGGGACTGTCCTTATATAGCACAGAGTGACTGACTTTCAATCATGCGTCTTCAGGCCAGCTGTGTCAGTTCAGCACCTTTAGATAAGTCATTGGTAGTATCATTTCTTTATTCCATTTTCTGGCTTCTTTACTTGTCCTACCACATCTTCATCTCACTATCAGAATGCTTAATTTTGGGATTGATGAGTCAGACTGGTTTCAGCTTTATTCAACACCAAAAGCAGTCTGATGCCCCTTTCTTCATTTACCACTGGTAGCTTTGCAAATAAGGCATTGTTCAAGTTGTTTTACCCCATTCCAGGCAGAGCATCCTGCAAGTGCATGTGCATGTTTGAGGAAGAGTTACTAGTGCATTTTGGGAAGGAGTGGCTAAAGTGGGAGAAGAATGCAAGCTACTGGAGGCAATTCTTGTAACTGAGAATGCTCATAGTGAGTGGTAGATTTGAGCTGCTCCGTGCACAGCTGTTTGCATGATATGCTTAATACTTTCAGGGGCCTCACTTCTAAGAGACATTCATTTTGACAGGAATAGTGGCCACCAAGTACCAGCCAGCAGCAAGAGAAAGACTCCAAAGCTAAAGGGGAACAGAGAGCTGAGAGCAGCCACAGTAGAGTATGAGTAGTGCTCTCATTGCCAGGGCCCAGACAAATCACACCTGAGCTGATGAAGCAAAGGAGAGTGATTGTAGCAACGGAGTTTCTAGAGAGATCATAGAGCAAAAGCAAGGCAACAAGCCAGAACACCTATGTGGGAGTGGGGGGTAACACCTATAGGATAGAGCAACCTGAGGCTAAATGAATCTTCTCAGGCCCCAGGCAGGACTTGTGAGTGGATGCTCATCAGGATCATAACAGCCTCTTGGTGTGCTAGACCATGGCATTGAGCTTTGTAACTGATTAAGCCCAAATAGAGTTCTTAAAAGCCATAACTTGGCAGGCCAAACTTTGCAGTGAATACCTAATTACAGGGTGTTATAACCAGATGAAGACTGTACTGATTTGTCATGTTTAAGGAATGCCGAGTTAAAAAGCTTCTGATAGTTTCAGCCTCTTTTACTATTATGATAAGAAATAGGCTTATGACCTCTTTCATTTTTTTGTTAATTTGGGCTAATGCATCTATCTTCATATGCAAGACAAGGATGAGTAATCTTTTGTTAAGCTTTGAGCAAATGCTGGAAGGCCAGCGTTTTCCCCTTAGTGCATACTGGTAAGAGTGGAAGATCTTGTTAAAGCCAACTCATTCTTGCATGCAGCTACAGGACTGAACATTCTGTACTGCAAAAGATCTGCATGAGTGCCTAAAGCTCCACCCTTTAAATCATGTGAAAGATTGTATCACGGTGAGATGCTGGAAGAAGTTGCCCAGAGAAGCTGTGGATACCCTGAACTGTTTAGACCCACAGTGGATGGGGCTCTGAGTAACTTGGTCTTAGTGGGAAGTGTGCCTGCCCATGGCAGCAAAGTTGGACTAAGTCATCTCTTAAGTTCCCTTCCAACCCAAACCCTTATATGGTTCTATGCTCGTTTCATCTTGATTCTTGGCAATTCTCAATTTTCTACTAACTGAAAGAAATAAAAAAATCTAAATAAGCAACTACTTATCAATAAAAACTATAAAACTTTATAGGGCTTATATGCCTTTAACTGTATTACCCAATCTCTATTTTTTCATAGAATTAAGTGAGAAGGAAAAGAAAAAAACATTGAAAAAACAAAGGCATGAGAGAGGGTGAAAATTACTCTGCTAAAGTCTGTGACTTCTCAAGTTAAATGACAGCCTGAAATCAATGGGGTAACGCACAAGTGTGAGGGTATACCTTACATAACCTTTCTTCTTTGAGTGCGTGTTGAGACTTTCAGTGGCAAGAAAGTGTTCAGGGAACTCTAAGTGAGAAAAGTATAAATGTTTTCTGCTAACAGTATGCTATATATTATAATAGTGGCAGGATCTGGTCCTGGAACAATTAAAATCTCAGAATATTAAAGAAAAAGATCACAGTTCTTTGTTATACATGCTAAGTTTTCCTCCGTATGACTTGATAGCCCACTACTGAAGGAGGTAAAAAGGCTGATAATACAAGCCTCATTTTACTCCTCCCAAGGTATGAACTGTATTTAACTGATGTGCTTTTTTTCATTTTCTAGCATATAATTAATTGGAATTTGCACTCATGAAAAAGTCTTACAATGCATAAGTAGCAACATGTTATTAGAGAATGCTCACTAATTATTGGACTTCCTGTTTTTAAAGTCTGTATCTGGGTCATTTCTGGGTGCTTCAGTGCTTCACATAACCATTTCCTATTGAAAAAGTAGAACTCAAAGCATATTCTAGATCACAGGTAAATCTAGCAGTGGCAGGTAAACATGCATATTTAGATTGTGCCAGCATCAACTTAGGTCAATGAATGTTTACTCTTAAGTCTCCAGCTTCTAAGTAGTTGTAATTGCAGAACTCTGCTGATTTGATACTTCTGTTCTCTGGAAGGAAGGTTGATGCTGTAGAATAGAAAATAAACTTCAAGAACTTTCTTTTCTGTGAAAAAGTGTAGAAAGGAGCAGGCTGCCCAGAGAGGTTGTAGACATACTCAAAAGCTGTCTGGACACAAGCCTAAGTAACATGCTCTTAACTAAACCACCTCCAGTCAGTGGTCCATTCCAACCTTACCCATTTCGTGAAAATAAATGGTGTTTTTTCTCGTTGTGTTTTGCTTTACCTGAATAAAGCTACTTGCATTTTTGTCATCTAGTGGAGAACTGAACCTGTAATATACACAAAGTTAGCAATTAAGACCTATGAACAGAATTATATCCAAGTGATTTAAGTCTCTAGAGCAATAGAAGTCTTTAGGCACTACCCAGCATGTAAATAACCACATCCGTCAAACTTGTATGACAAATGAAAGTATTTGGTGTCCAACTAGGTTCATGGGAATTCTTCAAATACATCTGTATTAAGAGTAAAATTCCATAGATATATTTAAAAAATAGGTATATGGTACATATAGTGGCAAAATAGAAACATCCCACAGAACTCAGGTTTTTTAATCTTGCTCCATTTTGTTCATACATATTTTTTAACATTGAAAAATTAGATGAAGGCTACTGCATAGCTCTTCATATCTTCTTTTATAGTATTCGACTTCCAAAAGTTGCCAGAATCTTTAGATGAAGTTTTAGAATATAAAAGAAAAAGAAATAACTATAGTTTTCTGAACCTCTGCTGTGAAGAGGAAAGAGTAGGAGCATCTTATTTTCTGGAATAATTCACAAGAAACAGATTTTAGAAAGCCACAATGGAAAATGCATTCTAGATATGTAAGAGTTGTTCTGAATAATTTTACAAATGTCACACTTCCTTGGATTCTAGTTTAGGATTTTTTCTTCTCTGTTATGCTACAGAAGCAGCTTTTAACTGCTTAATCCTACTTTATTCCAGATGCTTAAAAATTTCTGTGAAATTTTCTGCTTGGAACTTTTGGGTGCTTTAGACCTTGACTGTCAGAGTAGCTTCAGTTTGTGTAATGTGGATATGCTTCTGTTAAAAGTTCATTTAGCCAAATGACCCTGAGGCTTTTTTCATTGCCTTTCATTCACCATCTGCACTATCACTGACATTAATAAAGTCAGTGTACTACCTTTCTTTATTCTGACTTTTCACCTGCAGTCAAGAAGGGTCATTTTAGACAATAACAGTAACTCATTTTAATTCTGATGTTTAAAATGTAAGAGATGTTACAGATCCCTCATTTAATTCATTCACTGACCTCTTCCATATGAATTTATTTTGTCACATGTTAATTATTTTTCCACAACAAAGACAAACTAAGTATATGGTTGTAGTATTTGTGTGGCTATTTAAAACTAATTTAGCTGTTGTGGAAGAGCGACACCATACATTGCAATCAGAACTGGGGAATCAAAACACAGTTGGATACTGACAGTCCAGACTGTAATAAATACTTGTTTTGTGACTCAGAGCTGCAGGTGACTGCAATGTCTGAAGACTTTTATAGTTAATAGAAATACACTCTTTATTTAATAGGAAAAAAAAGGACATGGAAACACATAAAGACCCAGCATTTGAATAATATTGCCTTCTTAGTGAGTCATGATGTAAACCTTTCAGCATGCTGTGACCTACTAACATCAGTTTCAAAAATTTCAAACCACCTTATTCAATACCTACATTTTTTCCAAAACCATAAAAAACTTTAAATATCAATTAAAAATAAAATTAGCTCGGATAAATTTCTTTCATGATGGTTACTATTTATAAACAACTATAATTATTCTTAGGGTTATTGTAGTACACTTCCCCCACCCCCCCCAGTACTCACAGGAGTCAATAACACCCAAAGATGATGTTGTTGTGAAATACAATAACATCCAAAATATGTTCACTATTTCCTCTGTCTAAAACAGAGTGTAAATTCTTTGGGAATCGAGGATGTCTTTACTGCACTGGGTTTATTACTGCATCTCACCTATATAGCTCAACTATCAGAATGTTTCCTTTTAATAGACCATTTAGCTTCTGACTCTCATAGTCACCTTTCTGCTGACAACTCTTCTGATTTTACAAGAGTTGTTTTCAGAAGCACAGTCATTGGTTAGTGCAAAGGAGAGAGGAAGTTATGTGGCACTAATAATTGTAACTAAATTTCAGTGAGCCCTTACATCTGATTTCTGTTTGACAGGAAATTCTCTGAAATACCTTCTTTAAGTCAGCACAGTATTGAGAAAATTGTATTAAAATTCTATATAGGGATTTGTGTTTAGTCAGCTTCCTGCTGTTGTTCTCTTCCCATCTGGGGCATTAACACCTGAGAGCTTGATTTCTTTAGATAACTTTTAGCTAATTTTTCTTTGCAGTGTAATTACTAGAGTAGCACTGTAATGTGCTCACAGAACCCAAAAGCTCCCAGACCTGAAATGCTACAAAATTACTGTGAAGAGCCTAAACTAAACTGGTGATACGAGTTTGATAGGGGTTCTTCTTCCTTTAGACAGAAGATAGGCTCTGTTTCCTCTAAAAAGACTTGGCTTTGCCAATCAATTTATATGAATACCTTTACCTGTAGAGAAAATAAAGGACTGTGGTATTCATTACTTCTGCTCTCTCTTGTTACATTAAATACCGAAGACTTTAATGGAAGTTAAAGGATAATTTTTAATCCTATTAAATAACAGTGAAGTAATGATAATTTTCATTCCCATAGCTTTGAAATGTAAAGATAATTATTTCTCCAGTTCTCTGTAGAATAGGCATGTATCATTAGCCTTCGAGTACAGTGAAGTACAGCAAGGTTAAACAAATTTTTCAGAACTAGAAAAAAATAAGGAAAACCAAGAATAGCACTCTAATTTCTTGTCATCTCGTTCTGTTCTGTTTTCACAAGATCAGCCTTTATTAAGTTGTCATCTGAAGCACCTTTAACAGGTTATACCCATGAAGAATTTAAATTAGAGGCTTTGAAAGTTTATTTAGGAAATTAACTACCAAGACAGGGGATATAAAAAGCATTGCACTGATGATGAGTTTTGTCAAGTATACACAATTTAAAGTCCCTGTCATGCTGCTTACTTGGATGCAAATTTATTGTGGGGGTTTTTTTTTTCATGTCTGGACTGCTCCCCAAAACAAAATCCAAGATGTCATTATATAGGAGAAATACCTAGGTTGTGGTACGTCTGGGTTCTCTGAATCAGAACAAGTTTCCTGCTGTTGTAGGGAACCCGAAATACTGGTAGTGTCCTCCAGTAGCTTTTGCACTAGAAGCCTTACATTTTTCTCAAGGCAAAGGAGAGTGATCTCTGATTTATGGCATGCAGGGACAGAGCTCTTGGCTTTTCTTTGGGCCCACTTTTACTTGCTTGTGTCTGATTATGGGGAGCTGGGCAAAACAGGGGCACCCAGAATTAATTTTTTTTTGTTCTTCAATAGATTTTATCAGATTTTGTAGACCTCAAGGTGAAATTGCTATAAGTAAAACAGTCTTCTGGCAAAATTGTATGATAGATATGCAGTCTAGGCAGCTTTACAAGAAAAATAAGAGTGTTTTGTTTGGTTGGTTTTTTTTTTTCTACGGGGGCAAGAATTCAACCAAACAAAAAGCAGCTTTAATATTAAGCTGTATAGCCAGTATACCAAATAGGGTTCCTGAAGTGAATTAAAAACTACAATCCTGGCATTTCTCTTTAGATTTTTCTTTAGGGAGATCACATTTGGATGAGTTCAAAAGCTGTTTTCATGAGTTTTTGCAATTTTCTTCTACAGCAAAATTTAGCTGTTTTCACCAGGCATTACTGCAGGTTGCCAGGAAAGTGTCAGAATTCTTCTCAGTAAATCAGTTTCTACAAATTTGTCCCAGGTAGAAAAAAACATTTGCAAAGAAAATTAGTCTTATGACTAAAGGAAAAAAGAGTAACAAATCTAGTGATGGGAAAAGAAAAATAGTGTTCTTGCTGAAGGCTTTTTAATTTTATCTTTGCAGTTTTTTTAAGACTATTATTTATATCCTTGTAGGAAGCTCTTCTGTTTACTGATCTAATCATTGGTAAGAAAAATTGCTTTAAAATCTTAAAAATATTTCTTGATAGATGAGGATAAAAAGGTTGCTATACTCTATGAAAGATAATTTCTTCTGTAACAAAATATTTGTCTCCTATATTCTTACTGCCTGTTTTTCATCTTGTAGGTTAGCAAGCTCTCTAGTCCATGCTTAAATAATTCTGTCCAGTTGCACCTTGAACCCTGAAAACAATTGTACAAAATCAGTTCTTCCTTCAAGCCCCAAATGCCGCTAGTGAGGCACACACTGCAGAGTGGACCCCACCTCCCCATGGTGGAAAGAAGGGTCAGAGCTGCCTCACTACAGAGCTTCATTCCTACACTGGCTCCCCAAAGTGGCAACACTGAGGAATATTCTGATTAAATACTAGAGTAATTCAGGTAAGACTTGAAAATAAAATCTTATTTTCACTTATTTTTTCATGAGAGGCTGTGTCATGGTGTTCACTTTTAGGACTGTAAACAAGTAGAGCTGTTCTGGCACTGACTCCAGATACATTAGAGTTTTGTTACCAGACTGTACATCTTACTTGCCAGAGGTCTTAATACTCTACTGTTAGAGTCCTTGGCACTATAAGGAGAGGAATGCCTGGTACTTCAGTAAACATGTAGACTGTGCTTGAAACATCTCCAAGATCTAGTCTGCAGTTCAAAGCAAATGCTGCATTCTTAATCAATAAAGGAATTGTGATTGTGTGTTGCATTTGCATCTCTCTCTTTATTCAATAAAGTACTCTTGGGAGGATTCTTGTTTTGGGAAAGATGTATTAAAAGATCTAGGAGAAATCTGGGTACAGACAAAGAAGGAAAGAATTACAAGGTTAGACATTGCTTGGAAAGTATGCATTCTATAAGAACACAATTTAATAAGAGAAATAATGGCGCTTTCTATTGGGATTTGTTTCACCTATATCTAACATGACAGACCTGAGTCCACAGTGTGTTGCAATACCTCTGCTGCTGGACTGTCTTCTGTCAGACTTGATGTTGGGGTTTTCTGCAAACTTACACAGTAATCTTTTCATTTTCCATTAATGCACAAGCCCACGCTCAGAACTTGCAGTTCTAGAGCTAGTCAGGCTTCTTGTCCAGGGACTTAATGAAGGTCACTCAGGATCTGTGTCTATAAGGCACATGAAAACGTGTCACAGATGACAAGAAATATGTAGACATTTCTGTTCATTTAGAAAAGGATTGTGTCTGGAAGCATAATGCCATTAGTTTTCTTTCTGAGATGTTTTCTAAGTAGAGAAATGTCAAAAGGCAAAACCCTGAGGGAACCATTGTGCTATGATTTCTTTTATATTTAAAGATAGTGTTCAGGAGATGCAGTACACTTGTTAAAAGGGTAGGTGTTTTAATCTGAAGTGAAAAATGGAAGGCATTCTGTAAAAGACTTGAAAACAAATTCATCACTTCACACATTAGGCTATCTAGAGATGAAATTTTGGCACAGTGTTTGAGAATAAATGGCATGTCTTTTTGATCAAAGATTTTGGAGATTAGCTGAATATTAAATATGTAAATATACTCGCTTCTAACAGGTATGTAATTGGCAAGAATGATCAAAGTATCCTTTCAAATCTCTAGACAGATACTAAGTATGTATTTTCCCGTGTTCAGAATTTTACTTCTTTTTTTTTTCTTTTTACAAGAGCCTCTTCATCTGCTCTTCTTCAGGAAAAAAAATCATACTGACAAAGACTTCTTTTGAAAAGCTTAAAGAGGAGCATTTGCTATGAAATATTGATCCTTTGGAGACAGCTGATAGTGGCAAAGCCCATTCCATCACTTAGGAGTCTGACAACCCTGGAAACAGGCTGGCCAAACTGCATGAATCTGATTTCGGCATTGCTTACATCCCTGTGCTAGCAGCTGATATCATAGTATTTGCCTTCTGTAGTCCTCATGTAACCTCTTGAAACTTATATGGGCTTCATGCTCTGAGATTACCTGCCAAATATTTAAAAAAAGGAATCATCATCACCTCTCTTTCTTTTCATTTTCCACCTGGGGAGAAAATAGCTTGATTAGTTTGGGTGATGATAGGAAGCTGGAGGAAATCCAATCATGATTTTTCAATCTGAAGGGTTTATTTCCTTTCATTTCATTCATTTCCATTCATCTGAAGGTAATGAGGTTATGCAGGTC